GAAGAGACGGAGAGAGGCAGGGCAGAGATGAAAGACGGAGAACATGTGAAGAGAGACACGAAGGGGAGAGGGGACAGAAAAGGAAGAAAAAAGAGGGAAAAAAAAAAAGGAAAATTGAAGTTTGTTGCAGTTAGGTTCCACCAAGACCAAAGCACCAAAACAGAAAGAGCAAGAGAGAGGCAAGGACAGGCTGTGGGCTCCCGTTGCCAGCAGGCAGGGGAAAAGCGGGTGCTGAGGGAGGGAGGTTTTGCTACCACGAACTCCTGCCCAGCGGGAGGCGGACCCTCCGAGGCGGCCACTTACAGAAGCAGAGGAAGAGGGTGTCCACGCACATGCCATACACGCTGAAGAACCCGTGGGCGATGAGGTAGGAGCCCACGATCACCGTCTGAAAGGAGAAATTGTGCGGTCACGCCGCGACCTGGCAGCTGCGAAGAGCGCGAAGCCCTGGTCCCTCGGCCGGGCGGAGGAAACCTGCTGAATCCCCAGTTCCCCGGGGAAAGGAGGAGAAGTGAACAGGGCAGGACTGTTGGGACCAGCCCGCTCCAGGACAAAAGGCCTCAGTGACGACGGTGGACGGAGGCCAATGTGGGCAGCACGGGAAGGGCGAGACGCCTCTTCGCGGCTGGCCGAAACAAAGGGCTTCTTTTGACGGAGAGGGAGAAAACACCTTCAACAAAGACGGTCCTTCAGAAGCAGCGAGCGGAGGGGTGGTTTCAAGGCATTTGCGTTAAGGAGCTCTTTCTGTCGCCTCTAAATTCACCAAAAGATGAGAAAGCGGCTCACCAGAATAGGGACCCAGTAGTAATTCAGGGACGGCGCTGTGTCTTGGACCAGCTTTATCCGCTGGGTGAAGAAGAAGAAGGCAAGGATTCCTGTGAAAGCAAACGACGGACGTTGCTGGGGGCTGGGGGCAGGAGGAAGGCAGCAAACGGGGCGGGGGGGAGGAGATGTAAAACAAGGAGCGCTTTCACGGGAGTGGCAGAGGGAGCAGAGGTTTCAGGAAGTCGTAACCGGCCACGGGCGAAAGCCCACAGCTGCCATACGCCCCGCG